GGATTCCGCCCCGTGTCGCCATAATGACAGCCGGAAGACACCCCGCGGTGGGACGGAATGGCCCTTCAGTCATTGACCGGAAACATGTGCCCTCTAGTGTTCTTCTCAAGGAGGGCCTTTGTCCGGAAAGAACTCAGGAGTCTCATTAGTGTTGAATAGAATGGGTGGAAATGAACTAAAAACAAACAAGAGCATCCCGTGTCCTGACTGAGAACGTTTATTCTTTTGTACAATCGATTCGTGAAACAAGCTACTTCACAAGGTTTGAGCCGGCGTGTCCGAAGTCTCGGGAGCAAGGACAGCGATGGGGGATTGCAGTTTCCGTAAAACCGATCTGCGTCGGCCACTGCAAGCAACACCAGGCTGTGTTTTCGTCCACCCGTTGGGCACAATTTAGTGTTAGTCGCGACGCCGACGCTGCGTGGCATGGGGAGACTGCGACGTCGGGCGTCGAGGTTTGTAGTGGTAAGATTTGCGAGTTTGCGTATTCAGAACTACGTTACATCCTTTGTATGACTTGTCTGTTCCGACTGAATGTTGAACGTTTCCAGCCAAACATGGCATGGCCATGATAACACAAATTATTGGCCGATCTCGATCCAAAGACTACATTCACAGCGCCCCTTATATATCTGTAGAACCCAGATACAAATTTTGACGAAGCTTCTGAGTTTTATCGGTTTAGAAAGTTTTCATTGGAACATTGTAGAATGGAGAGCAATGTCTATGAATTTCATGCAGTCGTTAAACGCATGATTAATCCAGTTTATTGATTATAAAATTCGGACAGAATTTGTCTCACGGTAGCTTCTGGCTTCTATTTCACTTAACACGCGCCTCGGGTGGCCGGCTGGATACTTCTCGCTCGGGCCGGGGTCAGTTTGACCCCCTGAGATCTCAATGAACTATGAGAGCTAAAAACACCAAATTCACAGGGCATGTTAACCTGTACGTAAATTCACTTAGGTCAAGGTTTGAGATTTATAGGTTATGACCTTTGGGTCAAATAAAATCAAACAATGTCAAATTCCAGGTTGGTCTCCAAAGTGCCCCTAGAAAATACAGAACTGTTTCTAGGCAAAACGTCACATGCTCGTTTAAGATAAGTGACTTTGTTTGACCTCTTCAAAGTCATGGTGACCGAAATGATACAAGACTACTATGAGTTGTGTATCTGAATAAGCGAAAAAGATTACGCTAGGCAGTGCTGCTCCTAAAAGCTAAGTGTCGACCCGGGTCATTTTAGGTCAATGATTTATTCTGACCTCTAAAAAGTTCATGGAAGATGTAGAATGCGGTTCCTGCTATTAATAAATTCGAAATGAGCACCAGAAACTATCCCATACAGCAAACCTAGAGCAATAAAACAGGTTGGTTTTGACCTTGGTCTGACCTTCATACCTGGCCTTAGGTGGATGCAATTTGCTCATTCAGTTGTTTTGTTGTTTAAGAAAGCATTTCAGAAATATATGGCTTTGTCTAGCACTCCGTTGCTGCATTGGATAGAACGATTCCCTAGAAATCGGCTTCGCTGAAACCATGGCCTGACTTGGACCTGCCACAGGTCAGCGACCATACGAGGTGTAACCAATTTTTTCATCAACGATCCGCTATTCAACTGTCTACAGTTATGCAAAATTTCGCGGGGCTGCGCCGCACCGTTCGGAAACTATTATGGAAAAAACTTTGGGGGGGTCAATTTGACCCCCACCCGAGCGTGTATTGAAGAAAAAGGAAAGGAAAATACAAGAAAAACATATTCTCATTAACAAGAGTGCCAAATTAGGTGAATTTTCAGGGCAAATTTTTACAATCAGAAGGTTCTTTGCCAACTATGTCCAACACCCCCTTGCCAAGGCTTTGCCAGTGCGATGTGGTCATAGGCCGCCCGTACCCGCGACATGCTCATAGGCCGTCTACATTGGTCTAGGGCCCTTCCGATCCCCCGTCATTCGCGGAGGGCTCTACGCTCTTGTCGGAATCCCCATCTGTTACACCTCACCTCAGGCACACTCGATCGTTCTGTGTCCCTCCGTATTGGGTTTCGGGTACTTCCAATTTCTTTGGAAGCCCCTGCGTCCTAGTCGGGGGCCTTGTCTGTTAAGCTGCTCGGGCACACCAGTTGTTCGGGGGCCCTGCACATTGGGTCCTTGGGTACATCCTATTTTAATGTAGGGTCGTACTATAGGAGGCCACTACTATTACTAACATTTCTGGACACTCTTAAGCGATTAAAGAACCCAAATAGATTTTTCACACTCGACCGAAAGGTTCTTTACGCTATTGCCGGAGTTCCATATCCCGGAAAATACTCGGTTGCTCAGTGGCCATTTACACTGGTATCATGTTTTTCCCACTTGCTCAGAGGGCCTAGTGCTGTTGCCGGACCCCATATAAGGTAAAGCACCGAGGCGCTCGACGATCAGTGCCCTCTACATTGATCTCGGTCCCTTCCCCATTGAACTCATTTGTGGAGGACCCTTCGCTCTTGTCCAGGCTCTTTCTATTAACCTACCCGGACACTTTTGATCGCATTAGTTCATTTACACTGGTCTTGGGTTATTCCTCTTTGCTCCGGGGGTCCTGTGCTCTGGTCGGGCCCGATGTGTTTGCCTGCCGGGATGCTCCAAATCGTTCAGTAGACATCGTATTGGCCTTACGTTCTTCTCGCTTGCTCTGAAGACCCTACACTGTTGACGGGAATCTCTTTGTTGGCCTACCGCGGCACCCCCGATCGCTCAAATGCCGTTCCTATTGGTCTCGGGTTTCCCAAATCACAGAAGTTGACGCTGCTGCTATCGCCGCTGACGGAGACCTAAATCTTAGTGGAAAGGATAGCGGCTTTACGTCTCGCTGACTGATAGGGAGATTTCGAGGCGGATGCCTTCATAAGATGGTGGGCCGGGGTCTTCGTGTAGGATACGGTGGTGGCGTGGCCGGGGTCCGAACCTCAGACTGACGGGTCCAGAGTCGAGCGCCCGAACGATTTTAACACCACCATCCCCGACCTAAATCCGTATCGGCCGAGACGCTCTTGATCGCTCCGAGACCATCCGCATTGGTCATGGGTTCTTGTAATGAAGTCATGAAGTGATGAAGTGATGAAGTCAAATGACAGGAAGCCTAACAAGGCGGGCTGCGTCCGTTCTGGTTTCCCAATGCCATCCTTAAACTTGAAGCACTCAAAGGCTACAGCCGATTTTCGAGTTTTAAGCAGCAGGATATTCACCAGCGCCTGAACTAGGATCCGTGAAAAAGTTATGACTCCTCAACGTCCTCCTTTAAGGTCAAATGCGAGATTAAAGGACGGGGAATTCCATATCAATCCAGACCTAACGGCGATTTAGGATTTTTAATCACCGGCTTTTCTTCGGCGCACAAACTATCGTGCGCCAGAAAGTGCTGGTCACCCGCCAAGGTCAAATGACGGGCAACACTACGCCATCAAATTATTTCATACAATCTGGGGGGGGGGGGGCTATAAGGAATTTCCCTTCTTTGGTGTGTGGTTTTTGCCTTGTAGAGTAACCTCAAAAGGTCAGGATTTTTTGACACTCCATGTTCATGCGCTGGTGAATATTTTGTGGTTAAAAAACCGAGATCAGCCTGTAACTTCTGAGCGACGCGGAATTGTCTGTCTTTTGACTTTGAATTGGGTATTGAACGGCACATGGCATTGTAAACCAGACGTCAATGTCCGGTGCTCTCGTACCATAAGTGGCCATTTGACGTGTTTTCAGCGAAATCAGAACTCGCGGCTAAATAAATAGCTAAATACATCACTAGCTTCTCAGACTGCTTCATTCCCCACGAAGTGATTTCCGACACCAGTCAGTGCGCAAAGTAGAAGTTTGGTAACTGGGGGAACCCACCGCAAAACCCACCAATGACCGCATAACGGGGCTCCCACCGCAAAACGGGGACCGCCAGTTTGGCACAGGTTTTTACAAATCCAAAGGGGTCGTCGATTTCTGCCGAATGTTATACCGAGTTACTACTAACGTCACGCACGTGGAAATTTTGCTGAGTAGATAGACAGCGCTGGAGAAATGCGACAAAATCCGTCATGTAAATGAGGTTCATTCCCAGCACCGGCAGCTAACCACCACATCGACATGTTTTATCACATTTTAAGTAATGTGCGCGCCATGAAGGCCACGTGCACGGTTAACAAAGATACATTATTCTCGAGTCAAACCACCGTCAGAGATGTTGACACCGGGAAGAATCTGTACCTCGAACGAGGCCTCCAGCGCAAGAGCAACTGCCGCTACCAAGCTGTCATCGTCACAGCGCAACAAACGGCACTTAAAGCTTGAGCAAAATCACAGAAGTTCCACGTACGAATGTAAGTACCAATCCAAAGACAAATACAGAGCCGTCTCGGTAGCCGTACCGAAGGCCCCATTATTATTGCGAACATAGCCAGATACCGTTGGAAACAGCCGGATATACAATTGCAACGGGCATGCTGAAGTTTGAATTATCCGGCCCTCTATTGTCGATGGAATGCTCTAACACAAAGGCACGCGATCTGAAGTGCGTATATCACGTACATGAATGGGAAACCGTTAACACTACTTTACCATTTTCGAAACACGTGAGGCCTATATAATTACGGCATGCTCGGCGATTGGAGGTACTTTTTTAAAGACGACTGGTAAGCTGAAAATATTAATATTGTACAAGCCAACATACTGAGCGAGCCTTTTCGGGCAAAGGAAATATGCATTGCAGACAGCGTAACTTCTCGCGTTGCTGAGTCAGAATGCCTCCTTCAATACTATTAGCTGCATCACTCCTCTCACATGTCTCATCACTCACAAGTGCTGACCTGGAGACCAGCCAGAAAAGCAACGACGTACACAGAGTTCATCGCTCAGCTCCGCCGCCTTCGCCCGTCATCCACGGATCCTTTGGCCTGATCTCCCTGCTCGAAGTGCACGAGGCCCGGAAGGAGATCGTCTACTCCTGCTTCCTAAAGGCGAGTTGGGCGACCGATGACCGGGACGCGGACCAAGAGGACCTGTTTGCACCGCGCAGTGCTGCCGGCGGACCCCACGCGTGTCGACCTCGCTGGCTTCCTGGCGCCGGCCACCACCGTGGAAACGAATGGCGGGCTCTTCCACCAGGTCACCATGGCGACGGTGGCGCAGCACTGCCAGTTCGACTACGCCCACTTCCCGTTCGACACACAGACGTGCCTGATCCGGCTGCGTTCGACGTCGCCCAACGCGCGGCTCAACGTCTCTGACGTGCGGCTGGAGCCGGACTTTGACGCGCTGCAGCAGAAGTTCGCCGTGCGTGTGCGGCAGCGACAGCCAGCTGCCGCCCACGAGCAGGCGGTGGAGCTGCAGTTGCGGCGACGCATCGGCGCGCACCTGGCGCGGCTTTACGCTCCCAGCGCGCTGCTGGTGTCGGCCAGCTGGCTGGCGGCGCTGGTACCCGTCTCGCTGATCCGCAGCCGGCTGCCGGTCACCATTCTTGCCCTGCTGACGCTGCTGCTGACGTGCGGTACGGCGCAGCGGCGCGGCCCCAGCAGCGAGGCGCCGCGCTCCGCCGCACACGCCTGGGAGATCGGCTGCCTGGTGTTCTCGCTGGTCAGCGTGCTGGAGGCTGTGCTGGACATGAGGTTGGTGGTGCGGGCGACGGGTCAGGGCGGCCAGCGCTGGGAGCGGGTTCGAACGGTGCGGCGCGCGGGTCTATTTCAAACTGTATGCGCTCTGCTGGATCATCTTCTGCATGGTGTACTGGCTCTGCTACGTCCCGGCCTGGCGCAGCATCTCGCACGACTGAACACTCGGCACTACAGCTGGGCCAGTGTCAGACAGCTGTAGGTGTCAAGGCTGCCAGGGAAATGCATTCACGTTGCTTTCAGAGAACTGTAAAATTGTGTGTTCGCCCGAGGATCTACTATTCGTGTAAACGTATGCTGCACTGATACACCATCACTGGAGACGACAATGGTTTAGTGAACTGCAGTATTTCTCTATTCACGAAGTAATGTCATGCAATACAAATAAGTAATCAAGCGGTACTCGCCTACGGCGCCACGCTCACTCGGGCAGTTAAGTATTTATGCAGTCTGCCGATCAGATTGACGTGATGTTTTCCTCTCAACGAAGATGCTGAACGAAGAAGGTGGCATGCATGATGGCGATAGAGGTGATACAGATGACAGGACACCACACTGGCAAGGGTATTACAGCGTTCCACCGTACTCATCGCCACGGTGTTTGTTGCTCATCACGTATTTACAGGAAAATCGCAGGTAAAGGATGGATTAAGATCTGATTTCGTCATCATCCTCATCATTGGCAAACGGAAAATGCGGATAACAATCGACGAATTTTGTTATTTTTATACGTTTGTGTCGGGTCATCAGCGGCAGTGTGACAATCACGATCGGTAACACTACCGCGGCTGTTTGTGAACGTCCCGCCGCCGGAGTTGCATTCTGCTGGACCTAGTCATAACCCAGGTATGTATCGTGTGGGTTCGATGTGGGCGACTCCTCCGCCAGACCCCTGCGCACAGAAAGTACGGCATCCATTGGGTTAAAAGATATATTCGATTTTTGCACGCTTAAACTGATGCCCAAAACACGAGAAAGCAGCTGGCATTCCCAAAACTACAACACCCGTCTTTTGGAGCGTTATTCGCCACCTTCGGCCGTTCCCTTATTCAAGTGTTAGTAACTATAAAACAGATTTGCTCACAACATAATCCAAAGCTCGATTGCTGGCAAGCCGTTGGCAGTGTGGAATGTAGAGACGCATATGCGTGGCAGCAGTTAACAAATGCGTGTATACACCCGAATACAGTTCATTGCGTTCAACAATGCATGATGCGAACCATCCGCCAAATACTAATGTTAGTAAGACTGTAGTACAGATGTTATATCCTAACGCGACACCCGACACCTACCCACACCTCTGAATGGGCGCCTTCGGCCGGCGCTGTCGGCTCGGCCCGCCAGCGGGGGTGTTTGGGCACGCGCACCGGTCACCAGAGGGCAGACGACTTGCCACCGGGCGGCGCCTGCACCCGAACCCCGGTCCTCGGATGAGAACCGCCGCTCTCCGATCGTTCCGCTGAAACACCGCGTCCTCCGTCAGTCGCCATCCGCTGCTAACTACACGTGTGGTCGCGAAACCCATTGTGGATAGTGATCAAACATGTTGTCCAGCATGTCAAATCATCCCCAAACCAGGGCCTTTTGTTTCGCCTGCTATGTCCTTATGTACACTTTTTTAGCATTCACGATTCTAACACCTTGATACCTTGAAACCAGCACAAGAGTGTGAAAAATCTACGGTGCCGGACGTCATAAGCGTGCCCACCAGAGTTACACTACACAACGCTTTCCATGGGTTGGTATATTTTGCAAGCCAATGCAACACAGCTGATGTTTTTCCCCAGGAGTGTTAAACACGACCAAATTGGAGCTGTGCGGACTACGCCGATAACACTATTTTTACACGCCTATAGTCGGTGAGAGAAGCACCAGACATTGCTCCGATGGGCTCCGTCCAACACTCACCTGGAGTCAGCCGGGTCGGCGCAGACGGAGCGTACCCCGGCTCCGGCTCCGGCTCCGGCTCCGGCTCTGGCTCCGGCGCACCGCCGCTCTCCTGGCAGTCCGGGTCAGCCGTGCTGCTGCGGTCCACCGGCTGCGGCACGCGCACCTCATCGCGCTGATGCACGCGCAAGTATACCTCGGGCGAGAAGGCCGGCGTGGCGACGAAGCGGCCGGCGCCACGCTCCACGCGCAGCTCTCCCTCGTACCAGGCAGAGGCGGCCGCGCGACACCACGCACTCGGCCACGCCGCGGCACCGCATGCCCTCGAACACGTTGAAGTCGCAGCGCTGGTGGTGCGTGCGCGCCGAGATGACCCGGCTGGCCTCGCCATTCCAGACGACGATGTCTGCGTCGGAGCCGACGGCGATGACGCCCTGGCGGAGCGTGGACACGGGGTCGTGTGACGATGCCGACCGACGACAGGCAGGCACACGCTGATCACAGAAGCAGACGGATGGACGGCCTTATCCACATATGGTGAGCAGGTATGGTATGCCGCGCCTGGTGATGACATCCATGACATGGCAGCATACAGTGTAATGCGCCATAATGATGCCATAGGGTTATCACTGATTGGAAGGTGGGATCAGCGCAGGATCATGTTGCAAGTAAAAGTTTCGGGTGCAGTGAGAAGAATTCCAACTGTTTCAAGACGCGTGCGTTTATGGTGAGTTGGAATAGCCGTGTAGTATTCCTATTTCACGGACTGATTGTCAACCTCACTTTTCTGACCTTCAAACAGTGATTACATTCATTTTCCCTGTGCAAAGTACCACCTAAAAGCCAACAAGTTCGGACACTTAACCTACCTTCCGGGGATAGACGTTGAATATTTTGGCCGCGTTTGTGCTGGTGACGGCCACAAAGCGGCGCGGGTCCATCTTGCCAGAGGCGACACCCTTCTCCCAGATGACAGACATGCGGTCCTCCACGCCGTTCACGCCGTTCGGGATTTTCGTGAAGTCGCCCTTGCCCATAGCCTTCTGTTCAGAGGTGAACGTGCAGTTGTCCGTGCCGGTGCACTGCAGGTCGTTACTGCAACATGACGGCCTATTTCAGCATATGACAAGCGGGACATGACCAGGCGTACTTTCAGCAAAGGCGGTGACAATTCTGCCCAGAAGGCCTTGGAAGGTAATATGGAACAAGCTTTCTTTCACATTCTTAATTCAACCCTTTATGAAGACTGAACTCCTGTCAAGTCCACCATATGACGCATTGCGCCGTTTATGGTCCTTTAACGACCTAGTTCTGTTCTGATATTGTCGGATCTTCTGACATCTTTAGGTCCCTCAAATTACCCTTGAGGGACCACGGCCGTGTCGTAGTTCATACACAATCCACATGCCGTCGATGGTTTACTTGCATTAAGTTATCGCAGATTTAACAATTGTGGTCGCTTTGCGTCGTTCATAGTTTGCCGATATTTTCATGCCGATTTTAGCCAGGAATCTAAAAAAAGCAGTCAGCACAGGTCATGGGCTAACGACCCCGCAACGATGAGATACAACCTTTACAGCGCACGAAGCGCACCGAAAACGTTCCGATAAAATCCCCAGAACATTCCGGCTAACATCAGCTTACTATCGCACACCGAGGACGAGGCCAGCGGGCTGCCGCCGCCGCCCCAGTTGCCTCCCACGCCCGGCTCCTTACTTGGCCAGCATGTCCATGAGGTAGGCAGGTGTGCTGGGGTCGGGTCGCAGCGGCGGGCCCATGACGTGCGCGGCCGCGTGCCGCCAGCACCGGTTCCAGTAGTGGGTGCCGTCGGTGCCCAGGCCAGCGGCGATCGGCTCGCCGTACACCACGTGACCCTGGCGCCGCTTGGCCGACACCACGTCGGCCGCCGACTTGGACATCACGTGCACCACGTACAGGGGGCAGCCCACCTGGTTGGCCAGCACGCAGGCGCGATTGGTGGCCTCAGCCTCGACCTCCTCCGGTCGGCACAGCTCGTGACCCTCGGGCCCGGTCACACCGGCCGCCAGCATCCGCTGGCTCATCTGCCGGGCGGTTGGTAGCAACCATCAGATGTCGACGAGAGCTGATAATGACGATGATGCGGCGTGGGGACACATCGAACGGTCAGTGGATACGGATATGGCATAGCAGGGAGACTAGATACAGGCATGCCATCACAGAGAGAACCACACTGTAAAGCGGAAAGCAAGGGACCCTGTCATCCGGCGGCTGCCGCGCTGCGCGGAAAATACGCCAGCGGCCAAAACACGGACACTTCGGATGGGAGTCGCACAGCTCTATAGTGACCCTATAGCCGCACAACTCTATAGTGACCCTATAACCGCCAAACGAAACTCGACCACGTCAAGGCATTGCAAGGCCGTGGGCAGTTGAGCCACAATGCGTATGAATAAATCTGAAGGCTGATCGAAAAATGGCTGTAACCATTTTCACCTATCCCTGCCGCTCTTGAAGGAACGTGTCCCCCCACCCGCTCCTGCCCCAACTGTAATCGCCCGATCCGGTAGATAGAAAGTAAGCTAGCATGCCACCGCCATGTAGAACAGCTAGTTTTGATCAGCCATCAAATTGCATGTCAATAACTACGAGATGTTATCACACCGTTGGACGAAAAAATATACCTCTTTGATGATGTCCCCGTTTTCCGCATGAACTTGTGCGAGGGCTCCGATGGCTTTACACTGGGTAAACGATTTTAGCAAATCTTCGTCCAGTAATTGCCAGGTGTCCTTGTAGGCCATGAACATTTTGAAAGAGTTGACCCCGCACTCGTCAACCAGCTGAGCCATCTCCTCCTTGACCTGGAACATGACCGTGAAAATGAGGCGCACACAGCTAGGAATTTCAATTTTAGCCCACTTGCAGGCGGAAGTAAGCACAAAATAGTCTTGAGCAGTGCATGGATATAGATGATGATTTTTTGTACCAGACAACAAATTTATTTTGTGCTTTGGCTGTGGCCAGGTGAGGAACAATTGAAGTGACCTGTCTTAAATTGCACCAGAAGAAAGTTAACTACGCACCAAGCGAGCAACGATTTAAATTAGGACTCCCCGTGTCGCACGCTTGAGTCATTAGTCATGATTTGAGTGCAGCGAAACGAATCAAATCCTCCTCAACGCCATCAAGTGAAAGCATGACGGACCACTGGCATTGGGAAACAAGGCCATGCCCATTGGTGGAGTATACTCGGAGAAGTTGGTGCGCCAAAGGTGCTGGAGCGGGCATGCTTCAAAAAAAAAACATGCAAGTATTTGGGGATGCTGCGCCCACTTTATTATGTTCTGCATCTATGGCTAGATGCTTAAATACGAATGAAGAAGTGCATTCATGTATGTATGCATATATATATATATATATATATATATATATATATATATATATATATATAGTACGGATAAGCTGTGGCAAAAGCGGGAACTTTTCACCTTGAAATGTCAGGTTTCGATTATACATGCTCCATTTACAGCATACGCAGGAAGACATACGAACTGAACACGACGTTTTCGTAAGCTGCACTTGTGTCAGCCGTCACACTTAAGTCTGCACCGTCACAGAGACCATGCCGTGTCGCCAACTGCTAATATACTCCACGAGCCTCAGCCCCCTCCCACCGCGTGCCGTACCTTATCCGACCACCAGGTGACGCCGACGTGGAAGCCGTAGTCGCAGCAGACCTTGTCGTCGGCCCAGCGGCGCCACTGCACGTAGGCAGAGACGAGCGACTCGTTCCGCTGCGGCAGCACGAAGTCCAGGATCATGGTGGTGCCGCCGGCCAGCGCGGCGCGCGTTCCCCAGTAGAAGTCGTCGACGGCCGACGTGCCCATGAACGGCAGCTGCATGTGCGTGTGCGTGTCGATACCGCCTGTGGCCGAGCAGACGGTTAGCCCCGGAGGCGACGCGGTGGACAGCGGAGGTCGGCCAGGCCGCCGGTGGCAGCCAGAAAGACCGAGGGAGATAGGTGGGCGAAGCGAAGTTGTTCAGCAACTTCAAAGTGTCTAGTATGTATCTAATTTGGGCGGCAATGACCGACGCTTGCAGAAAACAGCAGCAAAAACAAATGAGAAAATTCGTTAAGTGTCACCAGCTTACAGCCTCGGCAGTTATTGCGTCATGAGCATGCGGCGTACGGACCTCAACACATATGGGAAGGTTCAGCACTAACCTCATGACGGTACGTGGAAAGAAAGGTACAACAATGCCTCTGAGCCGCCCTCTCCCCGCGCAAAGGCAAAGGCAAGCAAGGCAAAGGCAAAGGCAAAGGCAAAGGCAAAGGCAAGGCAAAGGCAAAGGCAAAGGCAAAGGCAAGGCAAGGCAAAGGCAAAGGCACACGCACATGTGCACGCGCACGCACACGCACACGCACACGCACACGCACACGCACACGCACACGCACACGCGCACGCGCACGCACACGCACACGCACACACATGGTCCAACTGAGGACGAGCTCCGCGCACCTGCGACATAGCATAGCACCAGTAATTGTTACTCAGAAGCGCGTTTAGTGATTTGAACATATCTTAGGCTAGACTCAGGCAGAACAGCGGAACGAAGTTTATATGCTAGAATTCTAAATTAAATCCAATATTCCACATTTGAATATATTGAAGGAAGCATCAGACGTGATGAAATATATTCCCTTATAACTACTGGCATAATGCGTGGAAAAGACTGCTGCGAACAACACAATTTTTCCATTCAGTAAATATGCCCTCAATACGTTATTGTTTGGTATTGTTGTTCTGTTGTTGTTGTTTGCTATTGTTATTGTTCAGCTATTGTTCTGGGTATGCTGTTAATAGTTGTAGCATATCTTTTAAATGGTACAGTTCCTTTTCATGTTCCAGATTGTCAGAACTGATTGATGAGTACATACACAGTTCTACTAGCCAATCATAAGTAAAACTATTTGCATAGCCAAACATGATGTTGACAAGCCATCAAATACAAACACCATAGTGATTGAAAATATTAAATCCCAAAACTATCAGCAGGAACGCGGGAAATATGCTCAAGTTGGTGGGGGGGGGGGGG